GGTCTCAATAATTCTTGGTTTATTTAGGCATCTTGATATTCAATATCACAGTTAAAATATCTGAAGTAAAAAGATTAAGTGTTTCTCATCATTGATCTTCGTAAACTACAGTGAATTTTTAAAGGCTAATTGAAAGATTCCAATAATAGTAATAAAACTAACAGAAGACTAGCCCTCGAACAAAATGAGTAATGGCATGTAGACCTCAAAGCTATGTTTTATGTTGGTTGTTAAGTTTTAAAAATAGTACTAAATTCCATTAAGCTGAACACGAAGACATGAAAGCTGAGTTTATTTATGTTTCTCACTAAGGATTGAGAATCTGATCAGAAAAACTCAGTGTAGTAATGCAGAATTCAAAGTTGTGTGATGAAAATGTTATTAAAGCACACTTACTAGAATACTGACATCCTTATTAAGAATTTTATAATTACTATTACAGTTAAGCAATTAAATATATAGGATATTGTGAAAAAAGAGTTGTATCCTGTTTTAGTATATTTTAGAGTTGTTCTGTAGAGTATTGAATCTGCAAAAAGACTGATTCTTCTGTAGGAACTGTTATAAAGATTCTTGTGTTTTAGAAACTTCACTCTTGGAACTTCATTTTTTATGCAAAAGTTCAGAGTTAACACACTGCGTTATATTTAATGGTGGATAAATTGATTTGGAAATACTTTTAATTTTTTTTTTCATTTTGCAGTAGGAATTAGTGGGTTGATACTTTCATCATGAACATTTTCCTACTCACACATAAAATTGAGCTGCTGTCACACTCCAGCCCCTATAAAAATGGGAGCACTGATGGTTTTGTAATCTCAGCATGCACACAGCTGCCATGAGCCAAACAATGGGAACAGCAGACTGGGGAGTCTCAGCATCTGTCTTTATCTTTCTAGCAGTGAGATGCTCACAACAATTCTCCTTCTGCTGGCCGCTCCCGCCCCAGCATTAACAACATTGTTGGCAGGCGTAATCCAACTCCCATGTGCTCTTGCATTTCCAATACATTTAATTACACAATAACATACCATTTGTAACAAGATCTCTGCTCTGTTTAATGACAAACAGGACAGTGCACATCTAATGGCTATTAAATGCTCCTTTTTATTCAATTATAGATGTCATGTTCCTCTGTGCTACTTTCAGCAGATCCTTCAAATCTTTCACATTATATGAAGTTATTGCTTTTCTCATGGGCTGTCTTTTGAAGATTAAAGCATATTATTGAGTGTGTAACGAGTTAATATTTTTTTCTCCAACAAATTATTCAGACCTAAAACAATATTGTGTCCATTCTGAAGACTGGAACTGTAACATATCAGGGGGAAAAAAAGCCATTCCAGAAACACTTGAAAGTATCTATTGGCTTTGAGAACATGAACTTTTATTTTAAGTTGCCATTCATATGGTACTTGCTGTATTCAAAATTTAATCTACCTGCATCTGGAGCATTTTTAAATGCTCCTTTGAAAATTATTCTTAGATTAGTAAGGAGTTGAAAGGACAGTCATACAGTGTGTTACTTACAGACCTTGGAATACATATTGAAGCAAGAAGAATTAACAGTGTTAATAGTGATTTTGAAGAAACATATAGAAGGCTCAGGTTAGAGCTAGTGACAGGTAAATGGCAATAGAAAATGAGTGGAAAAGCAAGAAAAACAGCATGCATTTTTCATTTTCAGAGTGTTTTAAGTGAGGTTTTATTATATCAACAGAGATCAGGGTTTAATATTAAACTACTAAGAAATACCAAAGGTGTCCTGTCCCAGAGTGGGTACCCATCTCCCTGCATTCACTAAAGAGGGAACAAGGAAAATTGTACCCCTAGTCAGAGGAATAAGTCTGAATAGTAGTATTTCTTTCACCTCACAGGAATAATCTGCACAAAAAATCACATCATAAAAATAGATATAGTAATTATTATAGAAATAGAGTAAATGTTGCTATTATTATAATAAACATAACGATAACTGTAGTTTTTGAGCTCAAACTTATGTCAACCTTGAAATGCTTGTTGACGTGTACATCAAATAGGCTTAGAAATGCAAATTTACATCATTACTTAATTAGATTAGTGGTGTATTTATTTCAAGTGTAAAGGGGGATCAATACATTTTTTCAGAAAAGGTGATAACAGTTTTTTCTGATAGATACACTGTAGACCAGAGACACCAGAGTTACTGGTGTCATTTGAGCCCATGCCTAATTATTAAAACACTGAATATGTCACTTTGTGTGTCTTTGATATATTATACTGTATATATAATATAGTAATATAGTATATTACTACTGTATGGTCATACTGGGTTGTCATCTTACTCCCACATCAAAGAGCAGTTTAGGTTCTTACCTGTTTAGATGATGGTCAGCAATGGAAATTGATGACAGAAGCGTGTGAAATATCTTCCTAGTTGGTCACGTTGGATGCTTTCCAGATCTCCTAAAGAATAAAAAGGTTTGCAGAAAGCAGTACACTATTGTGATATGTTTACAGAAATGTAGTATGGGGAGATCATTCAGGAGAGAGAAGCCCTGAAAATTCTAGTTTTGTGCAGCATTAAAGGGCCCTTTATCAGGATGACCAGGTTCTATTTTTTGGCTTTATTTAACAGAAAATTGCTGATTTGCTACAGGGTTTAAGTATGAAGTAATGGAGAACGATGAATGTGACAATACAAAAAATTTGGATTCATAATCATATTACTTCTCTTATACTATTCTAGTAGCAAAATGCATAAATATTTATTTTCTGAATAAACAACTGGATTAATAGTCTAACATTTATCAAGAGTATTGGTTGTGTCTCTAAGAGTAGACTCATCAGTTCCCATTCTTTCCTCACTTGTGACTCCTTTCCTTCTCATCTCCATTATCTCTTCTCATTGTGGCTGGCTTATGCAGGAGATCAGCCTTTGTGAGCAATGGGTACAAATAATGACCTTCAGACTTACGTATCTTGTTTTCTTTGCACAGCACTAAAAAGGGAGGAACAGAGTTTTGAGATGAAGTGAAGGAATTTGTTTTCAATTTTGCATGGTTTACTACCAAGCTTCACATTCACAAAAGAAACTTCCTAGAATTTTCAGTAGCTCTACAAAAAATATTAAAATATATTCAATGATTCATCACATATTTTCCATCCTTAATTAAACTGTGAATCTGAAAGCAAAAGTAATTGTCATGGAAGAAGACATCATAACCTGGTTATATCACAACCTGGCCAAATTCAAAGAGCACACAATGAACTTATTTCTGATTCTTCGATCAACCTGAGACTTATATAATACTCATTTAAAGGGCTGTAATAATGTCATCAGTGAATGTAGTTAAATTTTGTGTGAGCATGTAGAGAATTGTGTTTCTCCTTTTGCCAAGATACCCCTGACACTTACCATTCACATTTGTTATCAATGTTGTGTTTTCCTGTGAGCTCAAGGAGCCCTCATATGTTTGCTCTTCTTGAAAAGGTCTGGTGTTTCCTCTTGTTCTACAAGTAGTGACTTTGAATAACATTTTTAAAGGTTTTTGATCCTAAATGAAGTGGTTTGTGTTAGACATGAGACCTTATTCAGCAGGAGTTTTGGGTTTTAGTTCTGGTCACTGAAAGAAAAGGGCCAGTAGAAACAGCTACTCATTCCTGCATGAGAAACACTAGACTGCTCTGTGGGCAGGCACTGCATTCATACATCATTTTTCAGTGTCCATCACATTGGCTTCAGGCATGTTACTGCTGCAGCAACCTGATACTATTATACAACTGCTCAGAGTGACATCAGGAGCTTCAGAAGGTAATTAGACATTACTCAGAAAAGTCCCTGGTCCAGTATTACCAACCCACAAACAATCCTGAGATTGGGTACTAACCTAGCATTGCGTGGAATTTAATCACAGTGGGCTACCACACCATCTTCCTGGATTCCTGTGTTGTGCAGAACTATTACTTTTCTCAGTCATCTTGCACTTTCTTGGTAAGCTCATCTTTTGCAGAAGTCCAGTTTTCACTTCAAAGAATATCAACAACAGACTCTTTGCAAATCTCCTTGAATTCTTTCTTCCAGTGTTTCTTGTCAATCACACATTTCAAAATATTCATTTTATTTTACACTTAGCATGTATCTAATCTTCCATTACCCTCTAGCAATTGGGTTTTTAAATGTCTTCTTTATATTGAAGAGGTATTTAGAGTTTTTCTCTACAATCAAATCACTATTCCATTAATTTCTGAAAAAATTCCACTGGGGCCTTCAGTCCCCATGCAAAGAATTTTCTGAAGTCTTCAAATAATTTTGCTATGTTGCTGTGTATTCTTAAAAATTTCTACTACCTATAGCTTACAGGCCACATGAAGCTTTGCAGACTCTGGCTTTATTATGTTAAATGCAATGAATTTTATATTTCCAAAATAATATTCCAAATGTTTTGAGAAGTAATGCTTCATTTCAGTTGGATATCTTTGTAGAAGGGATTTTCCCTGAACTTGGTGCATTTTTTATAAATACCTTTCTTTTTCTGAAAGTTACTCCGTTTTAAAAATATAATACCTCAGAGAATTCCAAGAATTTTCTTAATGTGAAGGATCATGGCAATTTTATTAGATAGCTATTTTATTAGATAGCTATACTGTGAAATCTAGACAGGATGATTTTGCATTCTCAGCTGGCCTCTAGAAGAGCCAGGCCCAGCACACAGCTGAAACACACAGCAGTTTGTGCAGCAGTTTCTGCTTCTTTACAATCCTCTTGCTGCCTTCTTGAGCTCCTGTGGCTGCATTTCTCATCACAGAGAAAAGCAAGGCACAACTTCCCAAGGATTTTCTGAGATCCACATCCTCTGAACCTCAGAGAAAGAAAAAACAATTCTTATCTCATTTACTGCGCCTGTGTTCTGGAACAAGTGGAATGCATTGTGGAAGATTGTTTACCTGAAGGGAATTGGTAATTGGATTCTGGTGTGTTTTGATTCCTTGACCAACTGAATCCAGGTGTGTGTGTCAGGACTGTAGGTGGACAGTCACGAGATTCTGTGCAGTTGAGTGGAGTTGAGGTTTGTGCAGATTCCGTGTAATACAGTGTAATATAGTATAGAATAATATAGTATAATAAACTAATTAATTAACTTTCTGATATCCATGGAGTCAGATGCATCATTTCTCCCCCAGATATCGGGGATACCCTGCTTCACTATAAGCTTCTAGGCACTTTTTCTGGGATTGGGCACTTTTGGGAAGCCTCTGAGGGCACTGAAGATGCCTGCTGCTTCCAGGTGAGGCTAAGGTAAGGGTGGCTCTGGCAGCTTCTGACAAGCTCTGTCCTTGAGCAGCAGTGCCACAGCAGGGAGGGCAGGCCCCTGCTGGCCCGTGCCAGGACACAGCTGTCTGTCCATAGGGCTCACACAATGCAATCCTCTCTTGGTTATATTGAATGATCATGGTGACTGGGAGAAGCTCCTGAAGACTGGAAAAGAGCAAATCTCTCTTCTGTCTTCACAAAGGAAGGTGCAAGGAACTACAGGTCAATAGGCTTCAATCCCTGGCAATGTGAAAGAGGAAATCTTCCTGAAAACCATTTCCAAATATAGGGAGGACAAGAAGGTGATTGGGATAGTCTCCATGGATTTATGAAAGGAAAATTTTGCTTGATGAAATACCTTGCTTTTTAATATGATGTGGCTAACTAGGTGGATGAGATGTGAGCAGTGAATGCCAACCTCAGCTTTAGCAAAGCCTTTGACATTATCTCCCATTATCTTCATAGACAAGCTGACAAAGTACAGGTTAGATGGGTGGATGGTGAGGTGGATTGAAAACCATCTGAAAAAGAAGGTCCAGAAGTTTTTCATTAGGGGCACAATGTCCAATTGGAGATGAGTGTACCCCACTAACAGGGCTGCTCCTAGAGCCAGTAGTGTCCAGTGTCCTCATTAACAGCCTGGACAATGGGGCAGAAGAAATCAAGAGCAAATCAAGTTCAACAAGAGCTAATGCAAAATTCAGCGTCTTGAGAGGAATACACTCCTCCCAAGCATACACTGAAAACAAACTGTCTGGAAGAAGGCTTTGTGTAGAAGAACTCTTTGGACAATAAGCAGACCATGAGCCAGCAGCACATCCTTGTGGCATAAAACAGGCCAACAATATCCCAGCCTGCATTTGAAAGAGCACTGCCAACAGGTCAGGGGAAATATCCTTCCCCTTTGCTCAGCTCTGGTGAGACCACCTCAAGGAAGACACAGATTTCCTCAGGGGTGTCAAGGTGCAGCTGGAGAAACTTCTGTGGAAGGAGAGACTGAGAGCTGGGAATCTTCAGCCTGGAGGTTGTAAATGTCTGATGTGAGGGAATAAAGAAGAGGGAGACACATTCTCCTCAGTAACAGCTGGTGACAGGACAAGAGGCAAGGGGTAAGAAATTTTAAAAAAAGAAAAAAAACCAAAACCCAGAAAATTCTATCTCAACACAAGAAAGAATGTGAAGTTCATCAAATACTGATGCAGGCTGCCCAGAGAGGTTGTGGAGTCTCCATCTGTGGAGATACCCAAAAGCTGAGTAGACACAGTCCTGGACAATTGATCCTGCTTGGGACAGGGGTTATACTGAGTGATCTCGAGACTTTCCTCCAACCCAGACAATTCAGTGGTTTTTATGTGACTAGCTCTAGCTTGTTCTCAGCATAGCTACCAACAACTTCATTCTTATGGACTAATACAAATTATTAAAGTCTTTTATATGTATTTAAACAGATTATTTCTCCATCATGGTGGTTTCCCTGGTTCCAGTGGTGAATTGGGTTAAAGCATTTAAAAATATTCTGCAATATCACAGCCATATCCTTGACTTTAAATTCCTTGGGATTGGTGTCCTTGGGTTGCAGGTGTCCTGAAGTAAATATTTTTGAAAGAACTTCCTTATTTCCAATAGTTGTGTTTATAATACCAAATACTTCACTTAAGAGGAAGTTATTTTAGCATTATCTTAGTAATAAATTAAATACCTCATAAAACTAAGAATCTGTTGTCATATCTAGTATTTCAACATTGATTTTACTAAAATTACATGTTTGGAGGGACTCTGTGGAATTACAGTATTTGCCTTATGTTAATAATCAGCTTATTCTCTGAGATTGCAAGTTTTTCTAATTAAGCATGAACAAAGTTATTTTGACAGAGTGGAAAATCTTCATAAATAAATGGATGGAGAGCTGTTAGATTTTCATAAAGTAATTATTTAGAGTGACATCAAAAGTAATTTAAATTCAGATTGCATTTATCTGATTTATAGAACATTAATATTTCTTTGACATAATTTCTTTTCTAGTTTAGTGAATAAATGTTGTACTTAACCAATTATAAAACAAACCTTGCAGAACAACGATAATGTCTGCATTGCAGGTCAGCCTCCTGGCACAATGCAAAACATTTTCTTCACAGCTAAAGCTCTGGAGTTTTGGAATCTCTTTTCATCTTCTCAGTCCCTGACTTTGATGTAAGTTGTTTTTAAACAGGCAAAGCTCCAATCTGATTTCATCTTTAAGTTAGAGTTCTGTATGTTCCTTCACTCTGACATTTAACAGTCCAAAAATGCTTAATGTAAAACAGTTTTTCTCCCAGAATGTCTCCATATTGAAATACATATCCAGTAAATTAGGATACAGCTTAAAAATATTTATTTTTTCCCACTTTGGCATTTAAAAATGGAATGAAACAGTTGTGATTTAGAATGCTGAAAATAGATTTTTCAATTGGAAAAATTCTTTTTTTCCCCATTGTCATTTTCCACTGTAGAAATTAAAACCTAACTCTTAATGGAATAGCAGAAATAGTATAACTTCTAAGAGGCTCTTTTAGAATTTCAGACTCTCTTCCAGATACTCTATTTTTAATATTTCTTTTAATGTCTGTTAGCCAAAGGTGTAGAAATATGAGAGAATAAGAAATTATATCTAATAATGAAAATTAAGGTATAAACTGTATAAGTATAGTTGAAAATTATTTCTTTCTGGTTTTGAAATGAAATTGGATTTTTAATGGATACACTTGAAAAATTGTGATGGATTTCATCTAGTGATTTTTTGGCAAAAGAGGTAATGGCATTTGACTTCTTGGCATTGCTGTGCCTGTTTAGGGTCTTAGTTTGGTTTGTTAAATTCATTTCAATTTTATGTAGCCTGGCTAGGCATTCCCTTTAAGCATTTTAATAATGTCACAATGAAGAAAATAGAAATTTTGTAAATCATTCCTAAAATGAATTTGGAAACCCAAGACTGAGTGCAGGAAGGCTTCTGCATCAGTGAAGAGCTCCCTACTGACTTTTCTCCCAAAGAGGGGATTGGGCTCTGTGTGCTCTATTCTTCTGTGAGCCACATTTCTGTGAAAGGTTTTAGTAGGGTATGGTGAACAGTCTTGCACTTGAGTTCTGTAAATGTTTTAATTTCTTGCCTTCTGGCCTTATTTCCTGTGATTTTTGTTCAGGTTTAGCATCTCATACAGAGGTTAATTTGTAATATGCTGGTTGCCATCATACATCCTCAAGGCCAAAGTTAATAGGATTGAAGAAGGGATTGTACAGTCAAATCCTAACACTGTATTGCTGAAGTTAACGAGGTTTCATTGTCTGCAACATGGATTTTCAATTTAGGGAAGAGACTATCCCAATTCTTGCTGTAATCTGAGATAATGTGGGCACTGGAACTGGCACTTGGCATCTGTAGGTCAGGCACTGTGAGACAGGGGTCTTTAACTCCCCACTCACCTCCTGTTTTGGTTATATCTGTGCCTTTTTAAGGCTGGTTTTGAGGATTAACCAAGAGAATCATAGTGTAGCTTGGCAAAAAATTACATAAACCTCATTAATTTTGCATAACTACAGTAGTTAAGACTTTAAAGCCCAGATTTTTCCCTTCCCTAGAACTATTTCTTGTTTTGAAATGTGATGATGTGTTTCAAGAACCACTAATTAGCACTTCCCCTTGAAAATTCACATGGGTTTATTCTAAGAACTTTTACCTTCATACTAGAGTGTAGAGTCTTTAAATTATTAACTCCATAAATCATGTCAGTGTTCCTACATAACTGCTTGATTTTATCCTTAAATAATCCACAGTTTATTTTTAAACACTAGGATTAGAGATCTTACTCCTCCAAAGTTAGAGAGATGTGAGTAGATGGATATGGCATGGTACAGCAGGGGGTTACAATACAGATTTTGAATTCTTGCACTGTTTGCTGGACCTGCAGCAGTGCCCAGGGGCAGCAGTCAGAACCAGAGCACAAATCCTATGGGAGGATGGCCAGAGCTCTCTTCTGAGCAGCTTTCCATCTCATGTCAGGCAAAGCTCATCAAGTCATTTCAATTCACAGAAGGGGTGAAGGAAAAGAGAAATAAAGAATGCAGCTGACCACATACTTCAGCTAGGCACTCAGCTGGGTTTCCTGAAGCATATAATCTCTCATTTACTTTATTTTTAGTATTTTTTCTTTTTTTGCCCCTAACCAAGTAGTTGTTATTTGTCATTTGAATGATCCAGCTGAAGTCTGTCCTTTGGGAAAGAGGAAAGTAGCCTGCTGTACAAATTAGTTGGGGCAGGAGTCAAGGGAGCAGCATACAATAGCAGGAACATTTAGAAAGCTTCTTATCACTTTGATTGGGAGCAAAGATATATGCATCACAAAGGAAATAGCCAGCAACTGTTTTGGTCTCCTTCAGGTATTCTAAGTAGAATTAGACAACTTGTTGACACCACATATCGTTTTTAAGTGAATGTAGGTGGTAATGCATTTTTTATTTAGTTAAAGGAACAATATGATGCCTAGGACATTTATTTATAATTTGAGTGGTTTTAGAATCTCAATATTTGCTCAGTGATCTAAGCTAAATGAAGGTAACAGCCCTCCTGTGTGGGCTGTCAGCCCTCTGCACAGTGGTAATAAATACAGCTCTCGTGGGGCTAGCAAGACCCACAGCAGAGCAGGAGATGGGAACTCTGCTAAGCCCACTCTATAAACCAGAGAGGGCACTGAGATGTTTTTCACTTCTTTCTTGCCAGAAGGATGACTCAAAATCAAAATGTAAATATTTAGTCATGGTCTGGCTCATGGTCTGCCCAAGGCAGCATCATAATGGGCTCGTCAAAAACATTATTCTAATTGTTTTAATTACCCTAAACAAAAACATAAACCAATATTTTCTACTTACACTCTTACTATAGTAATATATATATATATATATATATTTCCCCTGCTGATGCTGAGAAGTCATAGAGAAGCAGGAGTGCTGACAAGTAGGGGGAGTTTTGGGTATTCCTGACATTGAAGTCTCTGTATCTGAATGACATTGCTGAAAGGTAGTGGCCTTTCATACATTTCTGTATTAAATTTAAAATACCAGACAGGTTACAAAGGTGCTTGGAGGCAAAAAAAAGGACTTTTATTACTCTATAAAAAGCTTATGCCTCATACTATTTTACATGCAACATTGTATAATGGCTAATAATATAATGATGGGATAAAATGTGGGACAGATATTTCCTCTGTGTTTCACTGGGTATGTGTTTTACTAACTAATAAGTGGTGAAAAACAACTATCCCCATTTTTTTTATAACTGGCTTGGGTTTTTTTTTCAGAAAATTAATCAAGTTTTGTCTTTGTTATGTCATAAATCATATTTTAGTCCATCTTGTAAACAGAGATAAAATTGCCTTCCCAACATATTCCATGTTTTCCTGTGTAATTAACACCTCGTTCACAGTTGTGTCTGCCAGTCAAAGTCCTGTCTTCTTCATCCTGACACTTCCTTGATACTTTGTTTAGACTGCTGTGACTTTAAGTGTCATCCTCAGGATACTTTAGATAAGTTCAAACAGGAAAAGGAAGGTGCTTCAAGAAGTCAACACTGTAGATCATTATAACTCGGAGGGACTATTTTAAAAGTATGGAGTAATTTATCTTTGTTTATTACCTTATTACCTCTCAGTCTGTTTTTCCTTCTTTCTAAGGGAAGTTTACTGTTGGTTTTTTTTGGTTTTTTTTTTTTTTTTTAAGTCGGGAAATATCAGTTTCCACCTGTATTTCCGGAGTAGAGATGAGTCCAAGAGTACGGATGTAGCTCTGCAGCCCCCTGTGCTTGTGCATGTGTGCCCTGGCAGGCCAGGCAAGCTCCTCAGCTGCTGGGTGAGCAGCATCAGTGAGCTGACCAAAGCCAAAACCTGCCCCACCTGCAGTTCTCCTGCTCCACCACAGTCAAAACCTGCCCCACCTGCAGTTCTCCTGCTCCACCACAGTCAAAACCTGCTGGCTGAGCTGCCAGCCTAGCTGGTCCTGGGGCTGCAGGGTCAGTGTTGCCAGCACAGCAGAGGACGTGCTGGGGGTGGGTAGTGAGGGCCAGCAGAGCCTTGAGCCCAGCCTAGGCACCTAGCACTGCATTCTGCCTCTAAAAATTTACCCTTAGCTGCCCCAGTTAGAGCTCTGCATGTGCAAGTACTGGTGGGATTAAACAGCTCAGCACATGACACATGTCTCAGCTAGTTAAGACCCAGGAATTTGGCACTCCAAAAATGCTGAGGTGGTTTTGTTTCACTCTGACTGGCTGAGGATGATGATAAAACCGTGGTGGCAGTGTACATGTTGTGTGGCGCA